CACGTGTAATGGGAAGAGAGGAGACACAAGAGACCGACAAAAAATTTAGTATATTACCGTCCACATCTCTATAACTCATTTATTCCGGATATTTTTATATGTTATAGCGAATTATTATTATAAAAAATATATATACTATAATAGAACATGAGATTTTATTTCGAAAATTTTTGACTTTTATAAAAAAGTATTGTTATATAAGAATGTTGTTATAAAAGATCTGATTGTATTACTTTTATTTGGCGTCCAATATATACAATTGGATCTTCATTGAATGTTTTCTCATTTAAAATTAATTAAAGGAAAATGCTCACTGTCAGAATCTTTTCTATTTTCAAACTTGAATATTGTATTTTCAATTAAGGATAAGGGATTATATCCTAATATAATTCTTGGTGGTCTAAAAACTTATCTCACACTTCGTTTAGAAAACAGAACTTTTGTGAAAGTTAAATGTTTGTGATATGTAATATTATTATTATTGTTCAATTATTATTTTTTATTTTAAAGTGGAAGTTAAAATTCGACAAAACTAATATGTAAATATTAGTTTACAAATAAGAAGTTTCAATATTTGCAAATATAAAGCATGCCCGTTTTCCCTATTGTTTTAGCTAGCGTTTGGCCATAGATTTTAAATTTATTTTGAAAAATCTGATTTGGGTGAAGTTTGGTTTGAAGATGAAAATGTGTTTGCACATACGTTTTCAAAACATATTTTCCAACTTTATTTTGGAAAAACATGTAATTCCCAAGTTTTGGAATTTTGGCCCAAAATCACCTCAATAGCTGATTTTGGGATTTGGCTAAAATATGGGCAAAAATTTATGACCAAACATGAGTTTTGAAAATAAATCCCAAATTTATTTTGGCAAAACTCATGGCGGGCCTTATTATCATCAATGGAAAAAGGAGAAAGTGACCTCAAAGCTTGGAGATATTTTGACTAATCACGAATGTATCTCTCCACGTCTGTGTGGTAGGATTCATTCTGCATGACAGACCCACTTCAGTAGATTAAGGATTTATAAGATAACACAGATGTCATCTCTGATGTGACATGAATACAACAACAATACAGTAATACCAGCAAGATATTAAAAAAATTGAAGCAAAACAAATAGCTAACCGCCCGGTAATAAGAAAATAGAAACAAAAGGATTCAAATAATAATAATAATCGAAGAATAAGAAAATACAAGACTAGTTGTTTACCCGTACAACGATACAGTTGAATTTATATGTGGTTTAGACAGGTAAATTAATTTGATCCTAAAATAATAGATGAATTAGACAAAAATATAATACTTAGCCTTGAAATGGAGATAAAATATCAGAAATATCAATTCCGGGGACAATAGCAACGATATCAAGACGATAAAAATTATATTGAACTTTGAATAGAATGTAGCGTGTATTTGCCAGGATCAAGCCCCTCTTTAATGTCAATTATGAGGGTCATTGAACAATGTGTAATGGTGGGTAGTGAATGTCATATTCCTTGTAACGGGTCGTATACTTAATGCTGTAGAATATTCCTCATTAAATGCTACCGGGTGGCAGGCATTTACTTCATCTTTATGAGTATTATTCTCTCTGGTAACATACGAGATCGTTGCTTTCGGACCCAACTATCTTTTGTCTTCGACTTCATGTGTCACTTCCTCATGCGATCATTTAATATAAACATATTTTACCCTATACATATAGTCCCTCCGCTTTTCGGTGGCATAACTTTGTGTCACCGGGAAGTTGGTAGAAATACCCTCTTTGGCGGGAAGTTCATTGACCCCTTCTGAAAAGTTTTGACGGTTGATTAGACGCACGTCTCTCCGCATTTAATGCCCTGAATACGCGTCATCTCGCGATTCATCGCTTTTGACGATTAACGAGGTAATTATGGCCACGATTCTAGTCGTCTATTCCTTTACTTATACACATCAAACTTCTTCATTTACACTTCATAATTCTTCAAACTTTTTTCATTCAACTCGTACTTTGTCTTCAACCTCTCTTTAACCTTCTTCTTAAGAAAAAAGCTTTTCCTTCTTTCTAATACATAATGACCTCTTCTTCTAAAAACCCTAGTTCCTCAAAAAACAAAGGTAAAGACGATGAGGTTGCTCCTCCTACGTGAGCACCATCATCCCCAAAAGTCTTGCCACAACTAAAGACTTTGAAGAGAAATTCCCTTAAGCTAATCCTCGTACATAGGTCGTTAGCGTATACCCTTTTTTCACCCGTCCTTCCAGTATTCTTGCTGTGAAAGAAGACTGTCATTGCCAAGATTTAGATATTATCGTTCCCGACCTGGTGGAGGGGATAACCTTACCCAATAAGGGTTTTACGTATTTCTATACGTATCCCTTTACTTTGGGGACGTTTTCTTTGAGTGGTGAGCTTGACTCCGTCATCGTGGAGTTCTGCATTCGCTACCAAGTCTGCTTGGCTCGAGTAAGTCCTTTTATATGGAGGACACTCTCTTGTCTTTGGCGTCTGTGCCAGGAGACGGGAGAGGAGCTAACCCTAGCTCGATTGATGAACCTTTATTCCCCCAAGATCTCCCGCGGGGGAATGATAAACTTTAGTAAGCGTGGCCACCATGCTGTGCTATCTAGCATGTATGATGACAACGACCATAGGTGGATAGAACAGTTTGTTGCAGTCACCACCAGTGACATCATTCCGGCTACGACTTTATCCTTTTCGGAACTATGGAATCGCACTCATAAGTTCCTCGTTTATCTTTTCTTTCATTAAAGATCATCTCATATCATTATTGACCCTTCTTCTTTCGCCTGTTCCAGCAACTCGGTGGGTACCATCTAAGGTTGAAGGCTTGGACCAGTGGATCCAGAAAATCTTGGACGTCACTACGCCCGAGACCTGCACGTGAAAAGAATTGGCCCTTAAATACGGGTGTAAGGCCAAAATTCATGGTAAATTCGACTCATCTCGTCTTGACTTTTCATGTAAGGAAGTTGATTAACCTTTCTCTTTTGCTAAATTTAGGTTTATCCCAGGGTTAAGTTGTCGTCTCCGAGGAGGACGTTTTGCCTAGTCCTGTTGATACAGCGAGGCTGTTGCAGGAAGATATTATCAGCATAACATATTTTTCCACTAGTATAGCAGCACGGAAACTTGTTCATGAAACCTAGTTCTTTCAACATAATCAACCATAGTTTATTGATCATCAAAATATAATACTTGCTCAACTCAAAAAATTGTCCCTTTTTGGTGATGACAAACCCATATGCAAACTGCTCAATAGCTTGCCAGAATTTTCATCAATTTTCAGCATAAGGACCAGTTTCAATGGCAACATTCTTTTTCAATTTGTCCATGTTTGCACAAGTGTAAAAGACTCGCCTTCGATTTATTACACCCTGAAAGATGGATAGGAATAATTCAATATCAGAAACTACAAATAGACAAACTCATTGATACATCAATTTCATTAGTCCAAGCGCTTAGGAACCATATTTACTGATCAACATATATGTGCACATCATTAACTTTCCCTTTTTGGCATCATCAAAAAAGTGAAAAGATTGTGGAGTCAAAGGCAGAACTAGCAATGTGAAATTCATGACCACTAGAGCTACACTAACATGTACATAAAACAGAAGATAAAAATTGAGAATAGACCAAACAAATAAGTAACCGTCAACAATTGAAATAATTAATTACTCGCCAAATTACAATACATAGTAGACCAAACTATTAGTCTTTGATCCTAAGATGATTCCCAAGTGAAATATGAAGTTTGAAGGCATTTAGATGTGATTTGGATCCGTTTAGAAATACAAAATCAAGTCAAAAAGTGAAGAAAAGTTGCAGATCTGAAGCCCTACGTGGGCTCGTTTGTAGGCTATGCAGCCTTGCGTAAGCAATTATTGACGGCACCAAATTGAGGTCATTTTGTGCGTAGGCTACGTAGCCTACATACGCTCCGTGCGTAGGCTATGTAACCTTGCATAGTCTAGGCCACACAATACTAAAATAAGTTTTACACGGTATTGTAACGACCCGACCGGTCGTTTTGAGAAATTAAGCTCCGTTCAGAGGCATAAGGTCTGGAACACCTTCAAAATATGAGTATCGACTTGCGTGCATGGTAAAATTCGATTTTCGGATGGTTTAGAGTCAAATTGGAAGAAGGAATCTAGTTTTGGAAGTTTGAACGGTGAAAAGTTGACTGGAATTGGACTTTTGGGTAAACGACCCCGGAATGGGTCATGGATGATCTCAACAGCTTCGTATGGTGATTCTGGACTTAGGCGCATGTTCGGATTGTGTTTTGGAATTCCGTAGCTAATTTAGGCTTGAAATGCCGAAGTTTGAATTTTTGAAGTTTCCGGTCCGATAGTGAGATTTTGATCCGGGGGTCGGAATGGAATTCCGGAAGTTGCAGTAGTTCCGTCATGTCATTTGGGATGTGTGTGTAAAATTTCAGGTCATTCGGACATGGTTTGGTTAGGTTTTTGATCGAAATCATATTTTGAGGAAAATTGGAGTTCTTAGGCTTAAATCCTTGATTTATTCGAGTTTCCGACGTTGTTTTAGGTGGTTTAAGGATTGGTACAAGTTTGAATGATGTTATGGGATATTTTCGTAGGTTTGGTTGGGGACCCGGAAGCCTCGGGTGTGTTTCGGATGGGCTACGGATCATTTTCCTCCTTTTTGAACTGTTGTTGTTGCTGCTTCTGATATCCTTCTTCGCGATCGCGAAGATTCTCCCTCGATCGCGATGCCTTGTTGAAGACCACCCCAAAATACTTCATCGCATTCGCGAGGCTCTGCTTATTTCTTCACTGCGTTCGCATATAGACTTCAGCGATCGCGAAGGTCTATCTTTCTACGCTTCGCGATCGCATCGTCAACCCCGCGTTCGCATAGTAGGAATTAGTAGTTGGGTCAGTTGACCATTTTTACTCTTCGCGTTCGCATAAACACATTCGCGATCGCGTAAGCC